TCTCAAACCACTGCGGGTCCTGGTTCTCAAACCACCGTACGTCCTGGTTCTCAAACAACTGCAGGTCCTGGTTCTCAAACTACCGCAGGTCCTGGTTTTCAAACTACCGCAAGTCCTGGATCTCAAACCACTGCGGGTCCTGGTTCTCAAACCACTGTACGTCCTGGTTCTCAAACAACTGCAGGTCCTGGTTCTCAAACCACCGTACGTCCTGGTTCTCAAACTACCGCAGGTCCTGGTTCTCAAACCACCGTACGTCCTGGTTCTCAAACAACTGCAGGTCCTGCTTCTCAAAGCACTACACCTCCTGCTTTTCAAACTACCGCAGGTCGTGGTTCTCAAACCACCGTACGTCCTGGTTCTCAAACTACTTCAGGTCCTGCTTCTGAAACCACCGTACGTCCTGGTTCTCAAACTACCGCAGTTCCTGGTTCTCAAACTACCGCAGGTCCTGGTTCTCAAACTACTCCAGGTCCTGGTTCTCAAACTACCGTACGTCCTGTTTCTCAAACAACTGCAGGCCCTGGTTCTCAAACTATCGCAAGTCCTGGTTCTCAAACTACTGCGGGTCCTGGTTCTCAAACCACCGCAAGTCCTGGTATGTTTATTGCTCATATTTGTCTTAACTTGATATATTTCTAATGTCACGTGTATTGATGTATTTGTTTTTAAAGTTGACATTAGAAATTGAATATGAAGTTTTTGATTGTTGTTATTGATAATTATTTTTAATTTTTTTTTTTCTGTCTTCTCGTTTGTACGTTCTGGGTGTTTTGTTTTTGGTTGTTTTCTCACTATAGTGTTTTTGTTGTATGTCCGTCTTGCAATTGCTTGTTTTCTTTCAGCTTTTATCTCACTATAGTGTTTGTTGCATGTCTGTCTTGCAATTGCTCGTTTTCCTTTTTTCCGAAATGGTTGTCGATTTGTGTGGAAAATATATTGCCTTTTTGGATCATCTCTAAATGTATAACAAAATGCTTAATATTTTATGAAAAAATGAAAAGCGTTCCATTCAAATCATTTCTGGTCTTTTTCAGAGGTCAACGAGTGCATCAGCAGCCCATGTGATAACGGAGGGACGTGTATTGATAGAGTGGTTGGTTTTTATTGTCAGTGTCATCAAGCTTTCTTTGGCAGCACATGTCAGCATAGTAAGTATCGATTATATCCTTAAGAAACATAATAAGTACTACATCAATCGTATTCTTAATAATAAGAAATCTCGGAAAACAATTTGGTAGCAGGACTGCCTCTCACTTCTGGGGTGAATCCGTGAACCCTGAGAAGAGTACACCGGTCCCAGAGGTTTCTCGTAGTTTTTCTTGTTTTTCTTTCTCCGAGTTCTTTTCTGGGTCCCAACACATGTTATTTGGGCAATAGGTTTATTTCTTAGCTCAGCTAGATCTTACTGGACTGAGGTGGCTGGACCCCCTCACGCTTGACCGCTACCTTCCACTTTTGGAACGCTGGTGCATTAACGTGTTTTATCCGATTGCAAATCTTTTTTGCACATAAGTCACATAAAAATTGAATTAATGTTTGATGCAGTTTTT